AATAAAGTCTAAATAAGTTGTTCAGATGACCAAAGCACAAGGTTTTCTTGCATAATTAACATTTTAATTGTTTGGTCAGACAATTACACATTCATTCATAAATCGGGGATTAAACGTTGAGTTATGTTCTGTATGCTAAATATGAATATATAAACAAGTTTATTTGCACAGTACCTATAACTGCGCTTTGATAACTGCGCTTTGCATCTGCTGATTGCTGATTGAGATTGACATGCTAAATGGCCGACTGATCAGGTACACTGTCATTCATTTAGTTCACGAACGAGATATGTACCAGTTCATTCAACTCGTTCACGAACAACATTTACCAGTTCGGTCATTTCATTCACGAACTCGTTCAGACTCAAAAGAAACTCGATCAGTGACGGGCGTATTCGTTCACTACATTCAACAAATCACATGCTCCATCACATCTCAAACTCGAAGGCTATTGGCTCGAGGTTTAGTCATTCTTTGACAGGATGAAACAGTCCATAGAGCTACCCGGTTCACTGATCTGCGCATGCGCTGCCAATAGCGCCGCACTGCTCTGGAGGGAGGAATTTCAGTGAACGAGAAATATGAGTCAATGGATTACGTGAACGAGAATGATTCGTTCACCTAAAAGATTCATTCAAAAAGAACGATTCCTTCACGAATGAAACATCACTATTAAGTTATTATTACTTAATCAAAACAACCCAACTGCAGTTTGATTAATATTACTTGGAATGCGCAATAAAAAAAAAAGATTTCTGAAAAAAAATAGTATTGGTAAATTATAAAAGTTATCGGTTTTTACAAATGAACTCTTCATATATATATTAGCAAACCTTGGTATCTTTCTAAGGAGACCAGTGTGTAATGATATGGAACACACTGTTATAGAAATGCTGTCTTAAAGTGTTAACGGCCTGGGATTCTTTTTTTTTGTCTGTTTGTTTTTTTTTTAGTTTAATCTAATGTTAATTGATGATATTTCAACAGTTGTTCTCTTGAGGCTCAGCAGCAGAGTACTCATCTCAAGAGCATCTTTTAGCCAAACAGAGGTGTTTGTTTATTCTGAATGCAAATGTCAGAGTCTGTCACTGAGCGCTTTATAGCGTCTTTCCTCATTTATCTCCAAAGTCTCTTTAAAAAGGTCGGCTCTCTCCATTAGATGCTGGTGCTTTTAGATCTCGCCAGGAATTTGTACTGTTTTATTTATTTATGGGTATTTATCTACCTTAAAATTTGTTTTGTTTTGTAGTCATTTTTAATTATTTATTTTGGTGTTATATAAAGCATTTCAGTGCAGGTCAACCCTTGTATGTCACTTCACATATAAGTGAGCTTACATTAGGATCATAGCAAGATTTAGACATATGTTTCTGGCAATGCCCGATGGCTGATTTTTGATCATTTTTCTTTATTCCTCCTAAAAGGGAATTGCATCATATTACAATGTGCAAATACACACACATCAGTTCTATTTCTGTTGAAGCTGTCAATACCCAGCCCATCTGATGTTGCTTGCATGATTGCACTGACTTGACGCTGAATAGGGAATACGCTTCACATGTGATGAGGTAAACTGGTGAGAAGGAAATAAAAAAATACTAGCTAGACTTGAGCAAGCATGCTGCTAATCCGACACTGAACATATGGAAATTGTTGGGGTCTCAGAGCAGAAAGGAATGCAAATGGATTAGTGTGGAAATTGCTTTCCAAATTGTTGTGTTTTGCTCTTATCAGCATCCTCACTGGAATTATTTGATAAACTAGGATAACAAACATTTTAATGTTTGGATATAATTACAATTTTTGTCATTATTTACTCATCCTCATATTGTTTTTGCATGACTTTCTTTCTTCTTTGGCACACAATACATGAATACACAAAATTATGGCCAATCTTTTCCATATCATGCATAAAAAAAATAAATAAATGTCAAACCTGTGGACTGTCAGTGTGTTTGTTTTCCTCCCCATGTGCTCCCAGTGACCTAGTTTTTCCCTAGTCTAATTAGTCATTTGATCCACCTGTGTCTTGTCAATTACCCTCCTTTTGTTGTATTTAAAGTGTAGTCTGCCACATGTTTCCTTGTCGGGTCTTGAACGTCCATGTTGTGCTATGTGTGTCTCCAGCCAGCCCTGTGTTACCCATGGTGTTTATTAAATACTGTTGATTGTGAGTATTCCTCGTCTCCTCGTTCCTCGCTCCTTACAGTAGGCAATTGTGACACAAAACAATAATAGTATCATAAATGTTGAATCCATGCTATTTTCTAAGTCTTCGAACGGTTCATTTCATGGGAAACTCATTCAAACTAGTTTAGAACTGAAGTCATTGAAAAGATCTGACTCAATTAAAATGGTTTGTTCATGAATCAACCAAATGTAACAATAATATGAAAAGACCTTGATGTTTATTTATGTCTTACACACACACACACACACAGTTGTGCTCAAAATTATTCATACCCTTGGTAAATATGAAAAAAAATTGCTGTGCACCAAACCCATTTTGAGTGTTCGCTGCTTAAAAAATAAAAAATAAGAAAATTGAGGGACTGAGCATTATTACATGAAAGTATAGAGAGAGAGAGAGAGGAAGAAAGATAAGAATTTATACACAGAAACAGGATATTACTGGTGCTCTCTCATATTATTGGTCTCATCATCTGGAATGACATCCTCCCTGTTTCAAATAAACATTTCTTGGAAATGAGGGTGTTCTGTGTTTGTCCAGCCATGACAAGTGAAGAGACACTCTCCAGTGAGGAACAAAGATTATGGCATATTACACTGCGTCCACACACCCATACAAAACAACAGAAAAAAAAAGCCTTCAAACACATACTCACTGCCAACATGTCATGCTCCATTATAGTACAAGCACATTGTGTTTTGATAGACAGGCCATCTGACTGTAGAAAATGCTATATACTCTTTATGGAATTGGAATAAATCCTATTGTGACCACAGAGCTGCAGTTTTGCTGTAAAAACCTTTCTGTGAAATATTCTGATATAATTTTATAAATAAACTATATATGGGCTTCCTGGGGATTGAAATGGCATCACATTGCTGTCAAAGCAAAATAAATCACCATTTTAAAAATTGCATGATAGTTAAATCCAAACATCTGTGCATACAAGCACAGCAATATTTTTGTAGGTATTGCTGAAAGACACTCATTTTATTTTATTTTTTTTATACTAAGGTGTAAGCCTGCTGTCTGAGAGCGTTTGAAATCAAGGCTGTGAGAAGGAACCATATGGCACAAAACACAATATAGGTAAGAATGAGCTACTTGTTGATGTGGATGTGTTCATGTATTCACACCCTTTGATTCAGCCAATTTACCCTTTTTTTTTTTTGGACTGATGAAGAAAGGGGGAGTGATGTTAGCTAGCTAAGCATACAAATCGAACAGTAGATTTATTTAGGAGAGAAAGACATTGAAGATGAGTTGGGTAATTTTAAAGATCATATTATTGCTCTACATATATGGTAACCCTTACCAAAAAGTAGTATACTTCAAGTTTATTTTAGTAAGTATACTTAAGTAAAGTTCAAGTATATTTTTTAAGTATACTTTATGTAGCAAGTATACACATATCAGTGTACTAGTAGTATACTTGTAAGTGTACTATTTCAATACTCCTTGGGACTAAATTGGCCCACTTTCTAGTATATAAAAGTATACTTTTAAGTATACTTTAACTATAACAGTAGTGAACTTTGAGTACACAACTAGTTTACATCAAAATGTTTAGCTTGTACTGCAACTATGCTAAAAGTGAACTTATAGGTATACGGATAGTTTACTAATTAAATACAAAAGTATACTTTCCTATTTTTTAGTTTAAAAAAAGTATACTAATAGCACACTTGAATACACTTCTTTTTCGTAAGGGAACCTTGAGCAGGGTGCTTGGCTTGTTGTTGGTCCCCGTAGTTGACTGTAACTAGAAATAGTGGTCATGGTAGGGTTAGTGGTATCTTTAAAATATTTAAGACAAATCAACCATGTATTAGCCGACAAGTATTAGACCAGAATGGTTTCATAGAGAAAGTCACTTGTAAATGGATAAAAGTGTTTTTAATAGCAATAATGATTGCAAATAAAATATACCAGCAGTATAAATGTGAGGAATAATAATTAATTAATTAATTAATTAACCCTAATAATAATTCAATATCATAATGTTTTATTGTTATTATTATTATTATTATTATTATTATTATTATTAGTCAGTGTATTTAAAATACACTTGTACCACAAATAGTGCTAGTTACTAGTGTTAGTATCCTCTTCTCACATCCCTGTGAAGTTTTGTATTTGAATACACTTAAAAATACAATTTATTTATGTGATGCAAAGCTGAATTACTCCAGTTTTCAGTGTCACATGGTCCTTCAGAATATACTATAATATGCTGATTTATTAACAATGTTGGAAACAGTTGTGCTGCTTAATTATTTTTTTTTTGGAACCTGTGATATGTTTTCATGATTTTTTTGATGAATAAAACATTAAAATAAGTCTTTATTATCACTTAACTTGTTATTCATCAAAAAATCCTGACAAAAAAAGCATCACAGGTTTCAACAAAATAATAAGCAGCACGGCTGTTTCCAACATTGATAATAAATCAGCATATTAGAATGATTAATAAAGGATCATGTGCCACTAAAGACTGGAGTCATGATGCTGAAAATTCAGCATTGAATCACAGGAATAAATTATGTTTTAAAGTATATTAAAATATAAAACCTTTATTTTAAACACCAAAAAGTATGTCACAATATTACTGCTTTTTTTTCTGTGTTTTTGATCAAATAAATGCAGTCTTGATGAGCATAAGAAACTTTTAAAAACATTAACAATTTTGATCCCAAATTAAAATATTTTGAGACTCAAAATTTTCCACATGGAAATGTATCATATTCATCCAGAGATGAATCGATGTATACAGTAAAATAGCAAGCCATATGTGGATTTAGCACTGGTCACTCACACTTACTTACTTGACAGAAAACTAATAAAAAGACAAAAGTTGTTGGGAGTCATGACAGATAAAGTTTACCATCAAGAACAATAGACATTTTCAGGAAAAAAAATTAAAAACTGTGAAATTAACATATTACATGACACATCAGCTGATCAATATATGTTAGAACAAAGAATTTAACCAATTTCTAGTAATTGTTGTAATGTACTGTACATTTGATTTAAACACATTACTCACAGCTAAAATAATGATTAAGATAAAGGCAATAAGTATTCAATAATATTAATTAGTGCTATTTAAATGTACTAAAGCTGTACTATTATTACTTTGAGATGTGTTCTTATTATGGTTTAATACTTTTTTCAAGTGTTACAATCGCTCCTAGCTGCAGTTATAATCACCCATATTGCAGGGGTGATTATCACACTAGGTCTTCTATTAAATTCAAAATTATAATCTAATCTTCTTATAAGTATATTAATGTTATAGTTACTTTTGAAACAAATGGTTCTTGCACCAAAAGATGGTATTTATAGTCTGTGATTTGTAGAAGAAAATGCTACAATTGTCCCTGGTCTTGCAAAAAAGGACACTTTTGTATTCTCAATCAGTTTAAGTATTCTGATATGGTAGTTTTTTTTTTTTTTTTTGGTAATAATGTAACACAACACATTATTGAAGTGCACATAGCGTGAGAAAATGTGACACAGTGGCTTCTTCACTTTTTTTTCTGCATGTCACCTGTCAGAAAATGGTCTGTTGAATATTCGTTATTTGAATATTCAAATAACTGCGTTGGATATTTCACTCTGTTCTTTCAGTGCATGGGGCTGTTTATTGCATAATCAGAGATGTTGTCAGTGTTCTTGTATGATTTCAGTTCTTTTACAATCTGTTTTAATGACAAGATTCTACCATTTTTACTTTGGGATATTCAATACGCATATATTTTTACCCCTAGAGCATCGAGTCTACTTTGTATATACCTATCAAAATTAAATTGGGAATTGTTTTCTGTTTTCAGTTTGCGTCACCACTCTAAACTACCAGAAGCAACAAAGCTTTGTGCTGACAGATCTGTCCTGACGACAACAGATGCACCTTCAGGGAAAATAACACAGACTTTCTCAAAAATATGAACATACCTACAAAGAGACCTTTAGATCTAGACGAAAAATACTTTCATCAGCAGCCCTTAACAGCTAAACTTTTCATGTTTATTCTTCCAAGAATACATTATTTTACTTCCCTGTTGCGAATTAGCTTGTGTAGGCACAAACAGTGTCAGAACAGATGTGTTACTTTGAGTTTATAAGCAAAGAAACAAGAAGTTCTGTGGAGTTTTGTAAATTCAAAATTGCTGGACGTCTACAAGTATATAATAGCTATATAAATCTGTCGGTTAGAAAGTCAGAGAAGTCTATCTGTTAGAACTCCATATACATTCTAAAAGTTAAGCTGATCAACTTTTTGGAGCACACTAGTATAGTGATAGCTTCAGAGCTAACAGGCTTCAACTACAAACCTCAAACACTAATTTTCTTTAAGAGTGAAGAATGGAAATGCTGCTTTTATGAAGATACTATCATTGTTCCTCTCTAAATTTGAACTGAGCATCTCTACGATGACATCACCACAGATGTATTAACAGTTGGACAATGTTAATCCAGAGAAAAGAACAGAACCATTCGCTAACATGGAAACTCCTGTCAAACATGGTGAATAATGAATGCATATGCAAATATTGTAGAATGAGCAAAAATCCCAGTGGCTCAAAGCACCAGCTAGTAGTAGACTGATGCAAGACTCCAGAACCAGTCAACTTGAATGAATTGAAAGGTGTCTGTGAGTAAACACAAAGGAAAATCTATATAAATACCAATACACATCACTTAGCAGTTGTTGTGCAGTTTGCTTCACTTCTCAGGAAGACCAGGAGATGCTCCCTCCATTTATCCAGTTCAGTTCCTTTTTGTTTTAATGGGTTGTTAAAACCTTTTTTTTTCGTCTTTAACTCACCCTGAGCCACTGAATACTTTCTTTGACTTGTGATGTATACTTATTTCTTCAGTCATATTACTAAAAGAGCAAATCACTTTCAGGAAACTGGACTTTTTCTTAAACTGATCCCTTCTGCGGAAGTGGGTCAGGAGCCATCACAAAATGTGGCCTTGAGCAAGGCACTTAACCCCAGGTTGTTCAAGGCGGGACTGTCCCTGTCCCACGGCGACGTCACGCTAAAGTTGTGGCCATAAATTCCATCAGCTGCACAGCAATAAATAAGGATTGTTTTTATATTATTATTCAACAGTGCAGAAACATTCTGTTAACACTGTTGTGATATTATTGTGGAGTTTGCTTTAATGTTGTTGTTATTGCTCCTATGGTGACCATTTCATCATTTGCATCCGTACACTAGAAGAATGTAGAAGGATGTAGAGAAGTCATCCTCATAAATAAAACAAGCAGAGAGGAGAGCTACAACTCACTATGCCTGTACTCAAGTCTGGAACATAGTGTACAGTACCAGCGTACCCATTTGTTAATAAGTATTCTCTGCTTGGTACTTAATACATGCAATTACATTAAGTGAACACTGTTTAAATTTATAGCAAGATTATTTACTCTTATAGCAACCAAGGGGATTTGAAGATTAGAAGAACATTAGACTTCATCTACCATTACAAAGGATATACTGTTGTAATTAGGTGCATTCAAAGTTCATTTTTATATTTCATCTTATGTTCTGTACTATACACATAAGCATATGCATACTATACATATTTAAGCAAATGCTTTTGCAGCTTTTGACTGCTAAGTGGCGCTTACCATAGACGTCAAGTAATCAGGCGAATGTATCGAAGAATATTTTCACTTGTAGCAATCTTGCCTTGTCAATGAGCTAGATTTGATGGATTCAGCCAAAAGAAAATAATCCATATTTAACTGATTAACATGAGCATATTAACGCCTGAGTTAACATATCCTGTTGAAATCTTTGTATCTCAACCTTATTGAAGAATCGTTACCACACTGCAGAATGTAAAATTATTTTTTTTTTAAATAATGATAATAATTATTATTAATAATGATAATATAAATTATTATTATTATGTCAGTTTACAAGCCTAAATCATTTTCAACAGCAACAGTTTTGGGAGATTTAAGCAGCAGTGCAATCATTCATCGGATATGATTTAGGAGAGTTTTCAAAGGCCAGGATATTCAATGTAATTTTCCATGGAAGTGCTGCAATGTTTCAATTTACATATAATATTAC